TTTTATTACTAACTTGACGAAACTAAGTCGAAGAAAAGGCAAATGGTTTATCCTACTGACTTGGAAGACAACTTTTCAGAAGAATGTCTCCATTTTCATGCTCACCGCAGAGTAAAAAAAGAGGATCGAAAAAGTGCTATCAGTTTTTTGAAATGGTTACGAACCGAAAATCTTCAAACCATTTGCTTAAACGTGGATATTGCTCTTCATAATGCGTGTGTGTGTACTCCCGCCAGTAACTCTTACCGAGAACGATTGATTGTTGTTCATCAAGTTAAAAATTATTTACGCGCCACAATGACGGAGCAACGGCTGAACGATCTTGCCTTGCTTAACACAAAAGCAGATTTTTTAAGAAAGTTGTACTGTGAAGACTTAATTAATGATTTTCCGGCGCCTAAGTCTAGACGAGTTTTGTAACATTGTAAAACACTTATTTTTATTGTATGAGAATGAACCTGTAGTTAAACTAGTTGAATAAATAAACCCAAAAGCCGTTTTAACTGTTTTATTTAAATGTGTAATTATTCTTGAAACCTTGGAAGGTATTACAAATTAGCAGCTATCATACTTAATTAAATTTCTGAATCAATATCGATCTAATTATTTAGTTTATATAATGAATACTGAGAAATGGGCGGCTACATGGCCTCGGGGCTAGGGCGGCCAAGACTTCAAATCCGCAACTATCTGTCTGTCTGTTCGCTAATCCTTGACGCCTCTATAACTTGGAAAGTACCGGTCGGATTTTGATGCATTTTTCACACAATGTTACTACTATGCCAATGACAAAAAAACTTTGTAGTTTTTAAAAACTGATGGGCCAGCGACGGCAGAGCGGAGTGCAAAAAACGAAAAAAATAAAAATTGCTCAACCTGTTTTTTGACATCTCAGATGTACAAACATGATCATTTTCTGAAATATGTTTGTAGTTTGTTTTAGGGTTATTGGGTATGTCTCAATTTTTTGATGTTATTATATTTATAGGCTTCCAACACCAGTAATCCTATCCACCTATCAGACATTTCACGCGTCATAGATTTCTTCGTACATTTGCAATTAAAACAGAATGACAGAGAAATGTCAATACTCGTCTCTGCTTCTGCTCTCTGGGCTAACCTGCGGGTGTGCCAACCTAGATAAGTGACCTATCATTACTGGCGCGGCGCAGAGCTGCTGCAACTGGCGCGTCGTGTGGTCAGATATGTGGACGGTACTACTGGTAGGGCAGGCTAAGAATGTCTATGGACTAATTTTATGGGTCTGTTTGACTGACTTCATCCATTTAATGTTTCTGTTATATATGGTCGTAGCTAACTTTTTTCTAAGAGGGACATAACCCTTTATGAACTGATGACGGCGTTTCGTGGGAAGTGCAGAGTCAACCTCCTTGACGCCATTTTTTAAACAAAACGGGGCTCTGCATGTTTATCATTCGCTTACATTATAACTATCCTGCTATAAAAAATATGCAAAACACTGATATGCAGGATGCATGAGGCAGAAGTAACGAATAAATAACAAATGACAACTTGGCACACAGAAATGGAAACAAAGGGATTTGACCCCATTGTCGGCATGTCTAGACTACATTGCACTTGGCGAAATGCCACAAATGCTATTTCATATGTGTGTTTTAATATCTCCTCAAATGTAACACAAAGTTGAATGGTCGTAATACTAATGGCTCGATGCGGTCGAGTTTTTACGTTTCGTGCGATATTGTTACATCAAAAGTGGATAACAGAATTCTAGTTTTAGGGAGACCTTGGAATTAACGACTATGGCAGGTAATAAGCAGGTCTCAGATCAGACAATGTTGTCCTTCCTTGAGTAAAATATTTGACACACTCTCCTGTCAATGCTATTTGTCAAAATTGTATAGCAAATCAGGCAGTCTCAACTAAATTTGAGTTGAACAGAGGTAAAGTAAAAACAAGAACGAAAAATAGAGTGAAGAATCCGGATTATTGATACTCTTTTTTAAATAATTATTTTATTGAAAATTCAATAACGTTACATATAACAAGAAAAACCAATCAAAGACGTATAACAAACCTGTCAATAAAAAATACAAATACTCAACTAAGTTAATATGAACACAAAATATGTTCGAAAAACATTGGCGGTTAAGGATTTAAATATATATTATATGCTATATAACATACGGTTCCTATAACTGTATTTTCATTTAGCACACAGACAGTTTAGACTATAAATGGATAAAATTAGAATATTATATAGATATTTATAACTTTGCATTGCCTCTTATGGACAGATTTTATTGCTTATGTTTTTATTATTATTATAATGAATATTAGATGAATTCATTGGTCTCACAAGCATTTGAAAAAATGACTAGTGATACTAGTGACGCTTATCACTTCGAGCTTGGTTCTTTATTAATTTTTGATGCAAAATTCTAAATTTAAAAAGATATTCTGGCATAGTTCTGTTAGATACAAAAATCATTATTAGACGATTTCACTGCAAAAATAATGGATCTTGTTTTTCCAAAGCAAGTGAAACCAAATTTTTCACCATAGTATACAATATACATCCACTCTGTTTATGAACTATTCAAAATGTATATACATATATAGTAATATCTTTACTAATACAACCTTCCTCATACCACACCATTCATTGCTCATATAAAAACCTGAAATACCTAAAATTTAAATTTAATTTACAAAGATCGCGTATATGAAGCTTATCCGCAAGATGGGAAGAAAAACTAAAAGAAGCTCAATCCATAAAGTTTACAACTATTTGATCACTTAATTTTGGCATTTCATTCAAATGGACCTGATTCAGGGACACCGTTGGAAGACTGTGCATTTTGTAATCTTTTACATGGCATTTTAAAGCTATTTGACACATTTTCGGGTATTGCCTATTCAAAGGTATAACAGTTGGAAATTCGTATAGGTCTTTCATAGATAGAAGTGAAAATTGTGCTGCGACAAGTATCAAAAACACTCGCAACTGTGGATGCGGTCGGGACGACTACGTTGCTAGAAGCTTTAGGATTTCTAAATTTGATTAAAAAATATTATACACCACTGCTTAAAGGTTTTCGGACAAATGATGGTCGATAATCAAAAACATTGAATAACGTATTCCAGATGCATTATGTTAATCAATGTCAAAAATTAAAAAAAAAAGCTGCACATCTCTTACGCCAAAAATCCTCTTTTCACATGCAATAGCTATACTTCGTGGCAATCTGGTCACGTGCTCTTCAAGCTCCCTCACCTATTTCAAGTTGTTTCAGAGTACTTTTTATAAAATCAAGACAGCACCAAATGCCATCTATTACCAAAATGAAAAACAGCAAGCTGTATCCCAGCTCGCATTATCAGCCGGGTCACCACTGTGGCCGCTAGAGGCCGCCCATTCTGGTGGTACAGTAGATATGGTCTACTCTTCATTGAACAAACCAGAAATATTTCATCCGTCCGGTCACAGACCACCAACCATAGGCAGCTGTTTCGTGCTATTTGGCACACTGCTCAGTATGATATAGGCTTGGCAGGTGTAGTATGATGTAGGCGCGAAAATAATCAGGGTGTTCAAAAAGTATGGATAGCTCGAAATATCTCGAAACATACGATTCATTGAGCAAAATATTGTAGGACAAAGTTGTAAGGTATGAAAAGATTCATCTAATGGTAATATTGAACGTAATCTTGACTAATACCTTCAAGGTCATTTTAAGGTTAAGCCAGTTTTCTTAATTGAAACGCCCTATTTTTGACCCCGGGCATGTAAAGAGCAGAAACTCAAGTACGATCACGATCTTCACTGTGACCATCAAAGACATTTGAAGATCAAACGAGAATCAACTATTTTTAATTCCTAAAGTGCAAATTGCAGGCAAATTTTACTTCAAGTATATTCTTGGCAAACACCTTTCAGGTCAGATAAATTTTCAAGTAAGCTGCTTACTTGTCGAGGATACAAAACATCGAATCTTTACACTACTTCCACGCAAGCGGAGCCATGAGTTTAGTCTAGTTATCAATAAGAAACAATTTTATGTTACTAAACTCTTATAATTTGGTTTGGAAATCCTAAATCTTCTCTGGAGTTTCATGCGGTTAAAAATAAATAAACTGCTTCAAGTTCAAGTATTAAATAATTGCCCCGTTCTCAAATTATACCGTGCAGCTCTTGGAAAGGGTGGCATGCGAAATGCTTATGTTACGACGGCCTAACTACCCAAAAACCAACCAAATAACAATCTTGGCAAGGAACTTGCCAAACGAACTATACAAGCGGCAAAGTGGTACTTTGCGCTTTTGATATATACCATGAATAGCTATTGTTCAAATAATTGTTCGTATTTGATGTTTTTTCACCTAATATGCTTCCAACTGTTATAAAGGCAAAATGAGTTCAGCAATAAATAAAATTCATTAGACGATAGAACAGATCAGTCTTCATATTTTGCCTTAATACAAAACTTGAGCTACATATACACATAAAACTGTCACAGATTATAAATACTTTATACAAAATATATACATATTAATAACGGATTAAAAGTTGTACCCAATCCCTGTAATCATAATAATCGGAACAAACACTGAGGAGTCCTCTAACCAGTGTAATACTTAGAATATTTTGTTGAATCTTGAAAAAATTATAACTGCTGATACCTATTGGTACAACTGGAGTTGACATTAAGAATAGAAATGAATGTAAATATATTTTCCGTTTGCGAAGGAACTTTTCTAGATAGAAGCGTTATTAGGAAGTACGAATCGATAGAACAGAAGAGACCACGTCAAGATCGACTGTGTTTTCAGATTTAACGTTAATATAAATCATCAGAATGGTGTCACTTGTCGATATGAGGTATTTTGAAATGTTACTGTATAATTAGCTGTTGTTTGCAGTTACTTTTGACGTAATGGATACTCGTGATAAAGACTTTGTAACTCCCGTAACGTACGTACAACCTATGACCGCGTGGCGCTTAAAACTTTCTGGCCGGCGAGTACTTTTCTTCATATTTTTTTTTACTTTCTGCTTAACCGTTAATTAACTTTGTTATTTCAAACGTAATTAATCTGAAAAAGAAACTATTTTACAGCGCCCTTTGTAGTGAGCAAGATAATTCCCATATCTTCGTATATTCATCAAATACGTATTTCGTAAATTAGACAACTCCACAGCGCATGCTCCAACTCTACAGCACGAACAAATTAAACATAAACAATATGCGGCCTGTCACAGTGGTCATTTAAAGGTTCATATATATTTATACTGCTTTCCTCGTAAGGATCCCAAGAATGTAACGACCTATAATCGTGTACCATAGGAGGGGGTATAATGTATTTCTCCACTTGTACAGGCTCAAACGGAGACCTCTTACTTGAGCTACATTGTGGAACAGGGTTCTGTTCGACAGATAAATCCGATTTGGTTCTTCTTGGTTTGTGTTTTGGCGCCCAATACAAAACACCTCCTATCACTATTAGAACAAATATAACTGTCACTATGACAGATATCGTAGCTATCCAACCAACAGAGCAACTCATTTGAGTGCTTGAAGCTGTGGATAGCATAGCTCCTCTTAGTTCTTCAGGCCCGCTACAGATGATATCGTTTTCGTCGAGTATCAAATTGTCAGTTTGATTCAACGTTTTTGATTTACTTTCCTTGATAATCTGCCACAACCATCCTAAAGAGCAATTGCATTGTAGAGGATTTCCTCCGATTTTCAACTCGGAAAGTTGGTCCAAAGGAAAATGTGTAGCATCTAAATTCTCTAAGCTATTGTACCTTACCGAAATATACCTCAGCTTTGAGTTGCTGTGGAACAACCTTGTAGGTAATGTTCTTACTTTCACATTGAAGTCCATATTTACCTTCTCTAGGTTTATATTATCGACGAACGCTCTAACGTCAATTTCTTCCAATAATTCTAATCTATCGATTTTTAACGTTTTGAGGTGGAACAAACCCTTAAAAGCTACTGGTGGTATGGATTCGATAAAATTCCCACTCAGTTTCAACATGTTCAGACTCGATAGCTTTGCCAGAGATTCAGTAGGTAATGAAGTCAAGTTGTTGTCGCAAATATCCAAATATCCCAGAACTGGAAGTCCTGACAACCCATCTGGATGAATTTCTGAGATGATATTACTGTCCATGTGAAGTGTGTGAAGTTCAGGTAAGTTAGGCATCTCGTTTGCTTCTATAGAAAGCAGCAAATTTCGCGACATTGTTAAAAAATGCAAATGTAAAGCATCAGTTAAAGCAACTGTCGGTATTCTTAGAAACTGGTTATCACTGAGATAGAGCTTTCTCAATTCTCTGTTATTTTTGAACATTTGTTCCTCTAAGTGAACCAACTTATTCGAATTAAGTTTGAGAACTGCCAGAGAGTGCAAGTCTCTGAACGCCATCGAATTTATGTCTTGGAGGGTATTATTGCTGACGTCAAGATGTGTCAGGACTTTGAGTCCTTTAAGCGAGTCTTTGGTGATATTCTCTATCTGATTGTTGCTGACGTCTAGGTAAGTCAGATTCTTTTGAGAGTTGAAATTAGAATTTCCTAACGTTTTTATTCTGTTGTCCGACAGGTTCAGCGACACTAGGTTTTCGTAAAATTCGAAAGAAAAGTGAATGTGTAGGATCTTGTTACTGGAGAGGTCCAAAACGCGTAGCTCAGGGTTGAGTTGAATAGGGACCACCTAGTAATGAGTAAAAGTATTTTTAAGCAATTATTAGCTTATCTTAATGTTAGTTTTTCAGTCAAATGATAACATGTGGCGATAATTGATTGAAACTAGCTAAAAGGATCTTCGCAAAAGCTAAATTAAAAAAATAGTTGACAGCTTACATATTTATTTAATGTATAGCAATACTTGTTCTAAAGAGTTTTCTAATAAGAACGGGACTATGTCGTACTAACAAAATTTTTGTAGTACAGATTTTCTCACCTACCTCCGCACAATACATATATGTATAACAGCTACATAAGCATAATTCGCTTTAGGTACTAATCTGCTCAGATAGCCCACAGGCTGTTTGCGCGACCTATTGAGAAATTGCGCAATGACTGATATTTGCCTAAACTGCTGCAACCCCCATTTTGCTAGCATGCATTGTGGGTTGCAGGCTTGTAGAATATTATATGGCGTATATTACAGCTAAGTGGCTGCCACTTCTGAGGCAGTGTCTCAATCTCAAAGCAGACTACTGACAGTTAGTGAAAGACTAATATGCAATTAAACTTTGCTAAAATCACAGTCTCACATAAGAAGCTGCAATCTGACCACAAGTACAGTTATGTAAGCCTTATTCAGGTTATGTTAGAAATCATTTCAAAACCGTTCCACCCAATTGGCTCACGGGATTTCAAATTCCACTGCGATTGGCTACTGGTAATTCAAAGCGATCCTGGCATAATTTATTGTTAACACCCAAATAATAAGGGCACGAATCGATGTGGCACTATGATTAAACATGAGGCATGTTGGATTCGTGCCACTAGCGAAGCTGGTTTATACTTGTAGATCCATGTTATGTTCCATTAAATCATCGTACATGGTCCTTTTAAATCTAAGCACTTCCTTGATATGTCACACAACTCATCTTGATTGGAAAAACCTTTGCTTATTATTTATTACAAAATGTCTCATTGTAAATATCGCGTTTTCATTGGTACATGCTTTATGGAAAATGATGCAATAGTATGTAGATCCTCAAAATAGTATTATCACAAATGTCCATATACCGTCTAACCGATATTGAAAATTTTTGGACGTTTGGATATTTACGATATGACTACCTTGAGATTTTACAAACACTTTCGACATACCTGCAAAGATGCTGAAGCACAAGACGTCTTCAGCACATCATTCTCACAACGGCAGCCTGCGGGACAGAGGGAAGCACCATCGCTTTTGAATCCGACCAAGGTTGTGGCGAGCATCAGGAGAACGGTTCGCCAGCACATCCGGTGGATTACGTCATCGCCCATGGTAGGATGGCTGCGGCATCGTCATCAACCTGTATATCACAAATATATAAGAATATTTCGATCTCCAAAATAGCAGAACAGTCAGACATTTTCTTTCTATAGTAGCAAAGTGGTGGTCATCAGCTTATCTAAATTATAACATGATCTTGAACTAGCCCTTCCTCAGTCTGCGTTCACACTGGAGGTTTAACGCTTAACCGGAATATTAGATTGATTATAATTAGTGTTAACAGGGGTGATTGGATGAAGTATTGATGACTACTGCATTCAAAAGGGATTCATTCACCTAACAAAATGATGTAGAATACTATAGAGGTCCATGAAAAACTTGGCATTTTTGACATGGATACAGAATAAAAATATACACTGTAGCCTCTGGATGTCTTGGCATTCAACTCCATCCATTATCTTGCCACGTTTACCACTTTAGTCTTAGGGTAGTTACTCTAATGGATCAGTAAAAGTATATGCTTTCAATAACAATCGTTTGCAAAATGGCGAAAATCCGGCATATCTACACGGCAAAAGTAGTTTTGAAAGATTCATAGCTTATGTTGCAAAAATGTTTTTGAAGCTCTGTAATTAATATTTTACATTTTCAATGAGATTTTATAAAACCCCAGCATACATGAATGTTGAGGGAGTTGGCTGCACAGATTCTGATGTCAATGACTAGAATCCACCAAGATCCCGACTAACCAATCCGATGTGAAATAGCAATATCAAGCCTATACTTGTGGGAAAAGAAAAGAGTCACAAAAGGGCGACGTTTAGTCGTATTGTCTATTTTAAAAGTTGACCCTAAAGCTTGTTGGGATTAATAGAGGCCCAGGTGGTTAATTATCGATACCAAATTACAATCACCAATCGGATATGCTAGGGCGCCCCAAATGTAGGCTTCATGTAGTTAGATAGGGGGGTCGTCAACGATCCTGGGATCAATTTAGATCAGAAAAGCTTTGATTCAGGAATCGCGATGTTCGTGTTAGTCTCCCCATTCTTCAATTATTAACTGCGGAACATCTGAAGGGGGCCGAAGAATACGGTTTCAAGAGCCTCACGGCTAGGTTATGAGATTCAAAGGTCATCAGTCACCTTGGAAAGGCGGGCAGGTTTTCTGGTCGTTCGTGATGAATGTAGACGACTTTCCTGGATTCATTTTTGTACGAAAAACAACGAGTGATATTATAGTTTAAATATCACCACTTTAGTTACTTTCCAAGAAAAATGCCTCCATATTTATTCAATTTTACTTACCTTATCTCAGATATAAAGCTACCATGCCAAACAATACCTAATAAACACTCAAAACAAACATTAGCTAGTCCATTATTTACAAAATTATTATTATTACGTCTAGGTACTTACCTTGAGTGCAAATACCATGCAAAACATAAATGAACAACACAAACCAACAAACCGAAACAATACTCTGCAAAATCGGAAAAATTGGAAAAATTAAATATTTTTTTTCATATACTTAAAACAAAATCATGCCTTTGCATGCTCAAATTACATGGAAGCATGGAATAAAACCAAATATAATAATAATGCCTTTATTTGGTGAGGTAACTAATTAATAAATCAACAAAAACAATTAAATAAATGCATATGCAAATTTTCAGACAGCCATGGAAATTGAAACTTAATAACACACATACCTATGAATTACATGGGTGGTGATATCGCTTAACGAAGAATCTCTGGTAAATTAAGTTGCTTACACTACATCAAAACAGTTTCAGAAAGTCAATACTTTTGGAAAAATTAATAAAACTTGAACAACCATCTCACAACCCATGACTCCATTCTGAAAAACAATATTTGGCATGACATTTCCATATGACATAAGTCAATAATTGATTTTTATCACGGAACACTCTTTTGAGAAAGCTTATTCCATGAATCACTAAAGATGGGTAATGATATCGTTCTCTTTACGGAGCTGTAACTGAACGCCTACAACCTAAAGGTCCGACGTTCAGCCAACGCTAAAAGTCGGTTCTCTATGAAAGTTGGGTGACTTCACTAAGATCGGATGCCTAATTCTAACCATCTTTCAACATTTGAAATTAATTTCAAAGTCGTCCTGTCCTTATACATGAATCCGCATTCATAATTTCGACACTGCTCTGATGATTCGATGTAAGAATCAGTTAAAATCAAATGTCAAAATGATCATGGCGGATTATACAGTGTGTCCCAGATTCGCTTCTCTATACAGGGTCTCGACTCCTGTTATACCTACAGCAAAGGCAAAGGCAAAAAACAAATTCCGATATTTTCGGCTTTTTGCTGATATTTTTAAAACCAATTGACCGATCGTGAATCTGAATCCGGCTATCGAAAGCACAAAATTGCATCTAAAACTTTCCCCATTTAACCTTTGTTGCAGGTGTAGGGAGCCGACATCTCGGTTTAGGGAAGCAAATCTGGGACAGTCTGTATGTATGACGGCAAGGCAACGTCAATATGAATTGAAGGGTTGACATTCGAAATTCAGTTAGAATCGGGTGTGGAATCAGGCCCCCGGTTGGATTCCAATCTTACTCTGTGTAATTTTCGTGCCCTTCGTGCCGTCTCGTGTTTGTCTGAGGGAAATGGATATTCAACATGATCAGCCGTTTCTTTTTACGTTTCTGTCTTCAATGGAAGAAGAATTCGGAATATTCATGTCAGATTCCATCAACTGATTCAGGAGGATCTACGAAAAGAACCGAATTGCCCATCACTATGACCCAGGAGTGGAGTAGAATGGCTGTGTTTAGGTCTACGACTATTTTGCTATTGTGATAATAGTAATTAAACATTCATGAAAAATGGATATTTCATTAAAATGTCGCGCTTGTTCAAGCGAGAGCCTGATTATGTGTAATTTATACGAGGAAATCACCGACAATGTGAGCTTGAAAGATATTTTGGTGGATTTGATGAAGTTCCAGGTATGTGCATCTTTACAGCAACTTTATTGGCGGAAATTTTTAAAATTTCAAAGAATAATTTTCAGGGAGAACCAAACGATGGGCTGTCGCCGCATCTTTGCAAAAATTGCACCGATACCATTGTTGATTTCTACAATTTAAAGAAAACGTTTTTAGAAAATGAAGCACAAAATAAACATTTGGTACAGTCAGAAAAGGTGGAGTCTTGCAGTGAAAATGGAGAATTCTGTGATGATTATATTCCCCAAGATGAACCAGAGCCAGCACATCACATTGAAAGAAATGTATCTGAAATAATTAAAAACGAAACGACCAAAGGAGATTATGTTGAAACAGTCTATTTGATTCATGATAAACCTACAGAAACTGAAGTCGCTTTAAATGAGGATGTACCTCAGAAGTTATATAAATGTTATGAAGTATCTAAAGGCAGCAAGACGTTAAAGCGCATTTTCATTACAAATAACAGTGAAACTCCAGCAGCAGAAAATGATCAGACTCAAGGCCAGAAGAGACTTAAATGGCAATGCAAAGATTGTAATGAGGTGTTTACATCTGAACAAGAATATAAAAAGCACCTGAGGGGCCACAAAAACTTCATATGTGAGCTATGTGGGAATAAATACTCCTCTAAAAAGTATGGTATACTCAAAATCATAAATGTATCTAGAGGCAGCATGGTGCCAACAACTTATTGCTTAAATGTCTAAGTTGTTAGAATACATGTGCCTAGTATTGTTTAGGTCCTGTAATGAACCAGATTTTTTGTATATTCAAAATTGTAATTTACTTTCCAAAAATTAATATAACTTCACATTCCATTTTCTTATAGGAATCTGATGGATCACATGGATACACATGAAGATGAAGCAAAGTATGTTTGTCCCTATTGTAACAAAGGATTTAAACAAAGAACAACATTCCACAAGCACAAGAAAATACATACACATCCAAAGCAGAAAGTATGTGAAATATGTGGAAAAAGGTGAGTAGTATCTACTTAACTCTCTATTATCCCATTATTTCAGTGGTGAAGCGTCCATGTAACCATTGGTAACAGTTAAAAATCTTAAAAATAAATATTTTATGACTAAGTACTGTGAAATAAGTTCATTTATTTGTTTACCAACAGCAATCTGTAATAGTAATTCAGTACATAGCAAATTAGCCCCACGAAAATGATGCCCCCTATAGTGTCTAGGTTTTGCGAACACAATGAAGCTGATTCGCCTCGTCTTGGTTGTCGGTTGTTACCATTTTCATTAACAGATGTTTTAGAGCATCAAATCTCTCACAGGGCACAAACCCCCAAAACTGAACGGCAGCATGCATTGTTGGTTGCAGAAAGCAGAGTAGTCTGTAGAGTTTATTTGTGAGAAGATATGAAAGAAAGAAAGTTGGTTGATTAGCAAGATCACGTCTGGATGATTATGTGTATTGGTCTGCATGTGTATAAAATCCGTGATATTTGCTATGTGAGAAAATTGTTACTGAATATGCTGCCAATGAAGTATAGTATAATATATCTATTAGATGTGTTCGACGGGTTATTTTATATGTTGTCCTTTCTGAAGGCAGGTTATGTTCAAAGTTATACATTACGATTTTCCCAGTTTTTTTTGAGTTTTCAAAACCTTTGAGAAGCATTACGGGAAATCAGTACCGCACCCGCGTTGTGTAAAATTAGGCCACATCACAGAAAAATTAGCAATGACGCATCACACGCCAAACATTTTCTCACTGCTTCACATCTATGCTCTGACTTGTATTTTCTAATTGACATCGTAACATTAATTTCTATAAAATTTAAATGACTTGAAATAAAAATTAATGTGAAATGTAATTACTTTTTACGTTTCATAAATATTCATGAAAGTAGCATATTTTCTCACTTGTTAGTTTTAATAACCTCACCAACCACGGATTTTCTTATCTTATCGCTCCCTTTTTTGAAAATTCAGGCAATTTGCATATGTAATTTCCAGGTTGAATGAGAAATCAACACATATTATTAGCGCACAAATCCTCGCTATGCACTGCCGTTTACTTTCAGCTATAGTAGACAACTTACAGCTTGGACCTCCAATAATGCCATCTCTGAAGCAGATGTTTCATCACATTAGAGCCAAACATTGATAGCTGAAGCATCATAATATTTAGGCAATGCGTACATCTACAAGTGTACATACAACAGCTAGTGCTAAGTTGACACCTTGTAGAAAAACGTAATATCACTTTTTAAGATACGCAATACCAGTGTGGTCAATTTCTCTGAATCTTTTATATGTTTTGTGTCTCAGCATCCTGAACAAATAGGTATTTACTCCTCCAGATAGAGCAGATAGATACTGAGTTGGGCAGCCTACATCTTTAGACCAGTTGAGTTTGAGGGCCTGTGACCTTTAAGGCATTTGTTCAGGACGTCGAGACACGCATCATTAAAAAAAAATAGCGAAATTACCCGAAACCATTCCTCCGCTTGAAGCGGATATTTGAGTAGAACCGATACCTCATTAACCCTAGATGGCCTGTACCTTGGAACCGAAACTACTTTTCTCAAAGGCGTGTAGCTTGGCCCTTTACTTTAACCATTTTTTTCTAACTGTATCCTCTTTTAGGTTTACATTCCGCGAGACCTTGAGGACCCACATGTATCTCTGCCACACAGAAAACAAAAAACGTTTTGAATGCACGTACTGCAACCATACGTTTACAATGATGGGCGGACTTAGAAAGCACATCAGAAGGCGCCATCTAGATGACAGACAGGAATTTGCGTGCACCGAGTGTAACAAAGTATACAAAGACAAGTTCGTGCTGAATAGACACATAAAAGTGCAACATGGCGAACTGAAAGGTGAAAGGCACGATTGTCACTGTGGAAAATCGTTCGCGTATGTTGAGAGTTTGAAAAAACATATGAAGAAACATCATCCCGAGTGTGATCCAGGAATTGAGATGAAATTAACATGAGGTAGTGACGGTGATTAGTGTGATTTTAATAAAATGTTTGAATGTACAAGATTTTTTTTTACAAAAAAAAACGCAAAGGCGAAGTCAAAATGCTGGATTACCGGTAGTATAGAGAAGTTAAGGTGGGGTTCGTGCATGGACCAACGAAAAAATAGATGGACAGAGCGTCAAAATCAATGACCACAAGCAAAATGCACCATAATCATGAAGTCGAAACTCTCTTTTTCTAATGGCATGGATGTTGTGTGAATTAATGGGCGCCTACAGTGGCGTAGACTGTGACAGAGGTCTATAATAAAAATTGAATAAAGACCACACTATACTACTAAACAATACCTAATTCTAATAATCACTGGATATTTAGTTTGATTGCTGTGCACAGTTTAGTGATGACCGTATGTATGCACCATAAGTTTTTGCTGTCCAAGTTTGACTACGTTAAGAGCAGTACTTCTGTGCACCGACTTCATACCGTATCTTCCCAGCTAAGAACATTTTCGATCCGACAAAAATCTTTCTATGTATTAAGTTACAGTGGACAACAATCATGTAAGCAGAAGAATGCATAGTTTCATATTTTCAACTTGTAATGTGAAATCGTTGTTTGCCCTTTAAAGAGTTTGAAAATATAAGCATATTCTGAAAAAAACGTAAAATCTTAATTTTTTTAGTATTTTTGAAGCGTCCTAATTCAAAATTGTTAGAGGAAAGTTGATAGCAAATAAACACTAGGAAAATCGCCGAAGACATAATTTTATCAGTAATCTCGCTGTCAAGATCGACTTCTTGCACATCAATCACACTGCTTCAGAGGTAGTTCTGTGATTTCAATGCGCATAATAAGCTCTGGTTGGACTCAAACAAGACTGATGTAGCAGGTCCTACTGTTGAAGCGTTAGCTATTACCCAAGGACTGGCTCAGCTAGTGAAGAGCAAAACAAAGATCTAAAACCG